GAGGCGCTGCATGAGCGGCGTACACACGGTGGCGTGGCGGGAGCGACTCGCTACAGCCGCGCCGGACAAAGAAAGAAACAAGAATCTAGTTGGAAGACATGAACAATGACACTGACACTGCTGTGGATGGGAGGAGAGGCGCCACCTGTCAGGTGTGCCGGCGCACGCGACAGCAGCAGCGGCGGCAGGGCGCATACATTGGGTAACGGTCCCTAGTTCTTGGGTGCCGGCTTTTTGGCAACGGCTTTCTTCATCTTTTTCTTGGGGGCCGCCTTCTTAGCCGCCCTCTTTGGAGCAGCCTTCTTGGCCGCCGGCTTCTTCACTGCCCTCTTCGCCGTCTTCTTGGGGGCCGCCTTCTTGGTTGTGGGCCTTTTTAAGGCAGATTTGTTCTTGCTCATTGGCATTGTCGCATCTTTTTTTACGTGCTTATTTTCTGCCCTTGGTAGTGCTGCTGACGTGGATATTGTGGCCGCGATTATGGCTGATGTGGCGTCTGCGGTGGAGGACATTGTGTACTTAAATGTGAAGAAGTATACCTCTTGTTGCAGTATAGAGACGCGTTGGGGAGCTTTGCGCTTGAACAGTATCTTTCAGACAGGTTGCACAAGGATACGAAACAGTGAACTAGATAGTCAGAGCGTGTTGTGTGAAGGAAAGTACCCTAGTAGACCTTCGTGCAAGGCTCCGTAAGATCGCCCGCTCGATTCTTTTTTTTGGTAATGCAGGTGCTGCGTGTGGACGAAAGATGGGGGCGTTTTGGAAGATAACATCGACTATTTACTGGATGAGGAGACTGTTGCACAGGGTGGGCACATCCTTTCTTGCGTCCACCGACTTTTTTCCCTTTGCGTTCTTTTTTCATCATCAGCGTTCCTTCTCTCTTTCCCTCTTGCCCTTTTTCTTTTTCCCCCTCTTTCCTATCTCCCTTAGGTATCGACTATGTTTCCCCAGGATTCGTACCCCGATTAACAGTTGAACGCACGTATACACGTTGGCTTGCGACGGCCAAGGCGAGCGACCCCTTTTCCAGTCCCCAATCCTTTTTTTTTGTTGGTGAATCACACACATACAACGCCCCCAGGGCCGTTCCTGTTCCCGTGAGCACTTCTATTTACGTCATTTGCATGGCTTTCCCTTTAGAGTGGACACACAAAATGCAATGATGACAAACAAAAAAACAAAACAAAAACTCTGCGATCTGATGTACGCTCGGGGGCGTGGTTACTTCCTTCCATTACATGCGGTGACTTTGCGGAGCATCTCAACTTCCCGTTCAATATCTCGGATCTCCTGCTCCGTGGCGGCCTGCTCAACCTCGAGCTCTTTCCTCTGGAAATTCGTGAACTTCCGGTGGTCCTTTTCCAGACGCCGCATTTCCTTTTTGACGTTTGCTGTTGTGCGTGTAAGGCCGGTGGCACGACGGTCCAAGTCCGAGACGTCCGCATCAAGCAGCTCGAGCCGAGCCCCGCACTCCTGATACACGCGACCCAGTGAGAGAATCTCCTTCCTCAGCTGCTCTACCAGCTCGGCGTCCACTCGTTCATCGGCGGCTGACTCATCTCCTCCAACAGCATCGCCTATCATCTCGATGCGCTTCTCCAGCTTGGCAATCTGCAGTGCTCGGTGGCGAACCGCCATCTCATTGAGGCGCACATTCTTCTGCTCCTTCTCCAACCTGTGCATCACAACACGGCGATCGGTCTCAGCAGCTCGCGCAACGGCCACCTCGTCGATGGGGACCTCCTTCTCCAGCATCTTGTCCTTCCGTCCCAAGAGCCGCCGCATCGCGTCGGTCTCGTCACGAATGTTTTCCAGCTCCAGCCTCTTCTTCTCTAGCTGCTGCGCCGCCTCCTCGCGCAACTCCTCTAGGTTCCTAGTGCCTACCAGCTCCGTCGCGATTTTCCGCAGGCATTCCGTCTGCCGCTTCAGTGTTACCTTGACACCATCGCGTTCCACCAGGGCCTTCATCACATCGTGCCTCAGGCCGTTGGCGTATGCAATAGCTTCGGTGGCATCCTTCACGTGTGTCACCGGCTCACCGTTTGAGCACCCAATGAGTTTCTTCAACTCCTTGTTTTCCTCATTGGCCTCCGCGGTCTTGGCAAGAGAAACCTCCAAAATAGACTCGAGTTGCTTCTGCTCCCCTAGCAGCTTCTTGTATTCCCTCACGAGCAGGGTCACCTCACCTGCCTTATTGTTGAGATCGCCAACAGCCTCGATAGGGAGAAGCAGTGTGCGGCCCTTGCTGGCTTTCGAGATCGACCCAGATTCTGTCGGCGGTGGGGTGATAGTCGACACATCCTGCAGCTTGAACCGTCGAGACTTCTCGAGCGTGGCGACGTCATCTCGCAGCACACGGCAGTCCTCCTCGGCCTTTAGGAGCGTGTTGACCAACTCCGCTGTTTCCATTCTTAAGTTTCTCTGGGCTTCCTGTTTGTATTTGTGATTCTTGCTGTTGCTTATTTCCCTTTTGCGTTCTTTGTTTTTCTTCTCTATGTGGAAGTGTTGGTGTGTTGGAAGGACAGGCAAAAAAAGAGAAGCATCGCTGCAGGCGAAACAGAAAGCCAGCACACCCACTTGGGCATTTGCGTCGCAAGATTGCAAACGGGCAGCACAACCTCGATATCGACGACATCTTCCACCCTCGAAATTCCTCTTTCCCCCACTCTGCCATGAGGCTACAGACACCCCTCCTCCTCCTCCTCCTCCTCCTCCCCTCTCTCTCTCTCACGCACACACACACATACAAATACACACGCATGTGATTGGACTCCATGCGAAAAAAACAAGAATCACACGCTCACACGCAATGACATGTAGAGGAGCATCTACACAACTATTTCGACTGGGGCGGGTCTAAATTTGGCGGTTGAATGCCGTCCTTCCCTTCTTCAGACAACTTCTCTGCTTCACACTTGTCTGCCGCGTACTTCTTGTAGACTTCCTCGGCCGCCTTCACCCCCTCCTGAATCGCCTGTGCAGCCTCCTCGTCGCCGTGAAGCCTGTACACGTCGGTGCAGACTCTCTCCGGCCTTTCGTCCTTGTCCGGGAACCTTTTCGGGGGCGGCTTAGGGCCGTGGCCCCTCGTGTGGGGAAACCTGAAGACGTCGTTCTCCAGTACATCGTCCTCGTGCACTTCGACGCGGCTGTCGTCGTTCAGGTCCTTGTTCTGCCGTAGTACAGACATGAACTCGTCGTAATGACCACGAGGATCGGTGAATCCTTTTGCTCCCTGTGCCTGCGAGAGTGCAAAGTTGAACTCGGCGGCCTCGCGCATTTGCTTCCGTGTCTGTTCCTCATTAGCTGAGAGCCGCTCGTTGTACACCGGCACGCCGTGAATGGTGTCCACCGCACGCTTGATCCGACGCGTACGGTCGAGCCACCACTGAAACTTTGCCTGATTGCGGCCATCCTTTCCAAAATCGGCGGCGTAAATATGCTTGTACACTTGCCGCCTCGTGCCGTACGGCTTCGGCTTGATACACAGCTCCTCAGGCTTCTGAAGAAGCTCCGCCTCTGTGAATGTCGCCTCGCCAGCCTCCAGTTGCTCAGTGAGACGCTCTTCCAGCATGTCCTCCATCTCGCTCATCTGCGTGGCACGTTCCTTTCGCTTGCGTTCCCGCAAACTGACACCCAACTCATCCAGCGCCTTAACACCGCGTGGTCGGTTAGTAAGGTATTGCTCTTCTCGCATCACTTCTTCTTCGCTGTATCCAATCTTTCGCAAGATCTCTGCTTCACGGGCCCTCTCAATTTGCTCTTTTCGTGCCGCAAGGTGTGTGTTGGCATCCTCGATGGTTTTATGGAGCTTTCCCTTGTAGTTCCGGTATTGCCTACGGGGAAGCTCTACCGTGTCCAGTATATCCTGCAGCACGCCTCGCTCCAGCTTTGTGGAGGGCAACAGCGCGTCCAGACTTCTGCTGCGCTGCTCAGGGGCAAGCACCCATTTCACATCCTCATCGTCAATGCGGTTACGCACCAACGCATACGGCTCAAACTTATCACGCTCCCATGAAAGCGGGAGGTTGCCGGTGATGATGACCTGGTCTGTACGCTGGTTGTCGACCATCTCCATATACGTGTTGAGGTACCACCGCGGGGCCGTGTGATCGGTCAGCTCTGTGCTGCTCGCGTCCTTCGATGTCTCCACGTACATGAGTGGCTCGTTGTTTACGTCATCGAAGCGCTTGTTAATACCCTGGGCGGTAAAGTTCGGTTTCTTGAACTGTTGCTCAACAGGAGTCTTGTCCACGCGGGGAAGCTGCTTCGCAACGTACCGCACAGGCGCCTCACGCACCGGCTTGCTTCGCGCCGCGCCCATCTGCACGTGGATATGCACGACACCTCGCCACCCACAATAGAAGCGTGGCCGCACAGGGGAAATAGGAGAAGAAAAAAAAAAAACATCAACAACAAATAAATACGTCGGTGAAACAATATCATTACAACGCGTATACTCTCAAAGCACCAGAACAGAGATGCTTCGATCATTTTCAAAAGAAATCTGGACATTTCATCCAGTACTGAAGAGTTACGCAAGATTCAGCAAAGAAAAATCTAGAGAGTCAAGAGAACATGCCTTTCAGAAGCGATTCACATTAACGAACGAAAAATTCAGCCACTTACTCTAAATTACTACTCCTTGCCATCATCCTTCAGAGGCGCTCTGGCGCCCCCTCAGGGCACACCGGTCTCCCCGGCTGAAGATAAATGCTGCCACCGAGAGCACTAACATCATCATCCACAGTGCGGTCACAGCGGCGGTAGCACCATTCAGCTGGAATACCTCGCCCCTCTCCACGTGGGCCTCCTCAAGCTTGTCGATGCGCGACATCCATTTCGTGTAGGACTCATTGTCCACAAAGCTCATGGCGTCCGGCAGCTGCTGAATTTCTGGCGGAAGCCCCTGCAGCACATGTTTTCTCCGCATAAGCAGGTATGCATTCCACAGATGCTGCTGTGCCGTTATCATGCATGGAGGATCAAGATGGACACCGTCAGAAAGCTTACAGTACTGATAATCATTCTTGAAAAAGTGCGTCGTGGGCACCACAGGAATATTTAGGTGCCACGCCATCGCTGCAAGTACACGACGATACAAAGGCACCACAACAGGGGCCGTGAATTCTTCACACCTCTTAAATCGGTTTGCTCGTCCCACAAACCGTCCAGCAAGACAGTTGAGCGGAAGCTGCTCGAAGAACATAATCAACGGACGACGGTGTACTGGTAACCGCTCCAATGCACGCTGGATAGCCTCCATCAGTTTCTGAACGTGCTTCGTCCAGTAGCTTATGGCAGTAGGAAGGTGCCGGATGGGTCCGTTCAAGTATGGAACCCGCTCCCTAGCATTGATCTGCCAGTTCAAGTCCCACGTGCCAAAATACAACACAACAAGACCACCCTCCGCCTGCTCAATCGCATCCGTTACCACTGGCACCGATAGACTGATGTAGCGAATTTTGACATAATGTACAGTGGATTTCCGCGCCTTCGCAATGTTAGCAGACGAGAAATCTAAACCTGGATCAATCCTTGTGTAGTTCTTTATGCTCATTGACACCAGCTCATCTTCCCGAATGACAACTGACATGTTAATATGATTCGGTACGTGCATTATTTTTTCATACCCATTGATTTCAGAGAACGGCAAATATAAATTCACTGTGAAGCCAAAATTCCTGTAGGAAACACTGTCTCCAATAAAAAACAGACGGTTTTCCGGCTCTCGAAATAAAACCTCCTGCTGCAACCCCTTGACGCCCATTATGCGAAAACCGCAGGGGTTTCTTCTCCATTGGAACTTAACAAGACTCTGTGGATCTGCATAGAGCCCCATATGACGAATGCACCACCTCCACGATGGGGATAAATGCGCCACTGCATCATCATCGGTTTCTATACACATCCATGCAAAAAACGCAAACACCACTAGCACATAAAGGCAACACCAATTTGATCTTGTACTGCCTACCATTAGCACACTGGGAGTAGGAGCTCCCCGCCAGAAAAACACAAAAAAAAAAAACGAAATAGAGGTTAACATAAGACAGCAGCTTGCAGGACAAACAAAAAATCAGCAACTCTTCTCAACTAATTCACAGCATCTCAATTAAAGAAAACCCTCTAGTACAGCAAAATCCACCGCAGGTCTCCACACGCATCATGGATCATCAGCACCTGAAGCGCCACGGGAAACAATACAACCCTTTTAAAAGCGAAAAATATCAGACAGGTACAGGTAAACAACATATGGCGTGCGGCACATCGCGTCAAAGATGAGAAGGGAACATGGGACATCTGTTGTGTTTGCTTCCACGTCGATGGCAAGACCACCGCAAATATTCCTAGAGGGTCTAATTCTTATTTGCCGCCTTCTTCGTAGCCTTCCTGGGAGCAGCCTTCTTTGCCAGCTTCTTTGCCGCGGGCTTCCTCGCCGCTTTTTTTGCTGCCGGCTTCCTTGCTGCCTTCTTTGCTGCAGGCCTCCTCACACTCTTCTTGGGTGCGGGCTTCCTGACACTTCTCTTGGCACCGGCCTTCTTGGCTGGCTTCTTCGCCACAGGCTTCTTGGCGGCCGGCTTCCTCACACTCTTCTTGGCGGTCTTCTTTGGGGATGCCTTCTTGGGCGACACCTTTGCGGG